TAAATTTATTTATTAGTAAAATTAAGTAATTATGATAAATATTAAATTTATTATATTATATAAATAATCAATTAAAATTTATATTCCAGCATTCATTTATATTTAATGGCATTAGATAATTTAGGATTAAGAGAGGTGAAACCACATTGAATGGAGGGTATACAAATGCCCAACCTCAAAATTGAGTTTTACTTATGAGGGAGAGCAATTTCAAAAACTCTCTTGCCCCTAAAAAAATTTTTTCTTGCCCTATCTTAAAGAGTTTTGTGTAAAACTTCATGAAAATATCTCATGTAAGACTTAATGGAGTTCTCTAACTCTTGCAAGAACTCGCATCATAATTTATGTAAAAGAAATCGAAACAAAAAAAATGAAACTTGAATTTACATAAGTCTTAAATTCTCAAGATCTTAAAACAAGATGATTTTCACAATCTTTAATCGAAAGAAAAACATAACTTGATTCATTTTGAATTCGTCGAATTTCGAACTACGGTTTCTCTCCCTTCTCCCTTCACTTTCTTCTATCATGAGTTAATCATCTATGGAGCAAGATAACTCCTCCTTATGAGAGAGAGAGATGACCAATAGTTATTTCCTACGGATTTGTCATAATAACCCCTCATGAGATTTATTTTACAATAACTCATAAAATAACTCATATGAGTTATTTTACAATAAACGCTCATATGAGTTATTTTACAATAACTCATAGGAGTTTTTTTATAATAACTCAAAGGAGTTATTTTATAATAACCGCTCATAGGAGTTATTTGATCAAACGGTCCATAAACGAATGATCAAATTATCTTTTCTTGAACAATAGGATTTAAACATAAATAATTAAATTGCAATAATTCAAATATATGGGCCACATAATGGTTTATATAATTAAATATATATTCTTAAATAATTATTGCGACGTCTCGCATAATTAATATATTTAATTATTCTAACATTTTGCCCACATTCAATCCCAATCCAATTCACCCAGACCCAAAACACTCATTGTTTCTCATGTGCACTGTTTCTGGAGTTTGGACTCTGCCTCTCCTACGATCCATTAAAAACCTTCGCTATATGCGATTCTTTGAACATCTGACATCACCTTTGTCCACTCTCAAAAGTAAAGCAAGCTTCAGCTTTTATGATTACATATAAGACATTTTTTTTATATTTATTTTTGTATTCTTTCATCATTCTTAAAGATTTTTAAGTGTGCGCCTATCATAAAAAAATTATCTTGACCGGGCACGAATCTTGAGGTAAAATTGAGTTGAAAGTCTCCAAAATTAAATTCGGGACCATCTGAACTCTGATTCCAGTAAACTTATAGTCTCAAAAGATGAACCTAATGACACCAAATTCAACCCAATCTTAGCTCAAATGGGACCAAATTGAAGACTCAAAATGCATTTTAAAGGTTCAAATTATAAATTGGATGACCAAACGGTTTACAAACGTGACATGCTTATAGTCGAATCGAGCGGCTCGACGAGATGAATCCATTGAGCCTAAGATCGTCAAATTCTGACATCACGAAGGCACCCAAATACTAGATAAATTGTATATAATCAAAGGAGTTGATATCAATCGTCCATTCAAAACACTCACAACATGCTCTTGATCTACTCCCTATTTATTGGTAATACCACTCCCAAAAAATAATAAATACACTCCTCATTTTTCATTAAGGGGAGAGAAAGCAAGGGAGAAAGGAAGAGAAAAAACAGAGGAGAAGAAGAGAAATCTGATCTCTCTTGCCACCAAGCTCATCCTCGACCATCGCCCAGCCACCGACTACCGCCGAACTTCCACCAGACCACCAATTATCAGCGGGCTTATACCTTCGTCGCCTACCAACTACGGTCATTTCGACCACTGTCGCCTGCCAACGATCTTTTCAACCTCTATCACTTGCTGACGACGGTCTTTTCGATCTCTGTCGCATGCCAACTACGATCCTTCTGACATTCGTAGCCAAACTATGGTCTTTCCGACCTCTGCACCTACCAATTACAATCCTTCCAACCTCTGTTGTCAGACAACATTCCTTTCGACCTCTATCGCAAGACTACGATCTTTTCGACCTCTGTCACATGTTAACTACGATCCTTCTGATCTTTGTCGTCAGATAACGGTCCTTACGACCACCATCACTCGACTACAGTCCATCCGACCTCCATCGCCAAACTACAGTCCTTCTGACCTTCGTTGCATGCCGACATAGGCGGATCCCCATGTAGTTGAGGGGGGGCAAATGCCCCCCCCCCTCAAAATTTTTTTTTTTTTAATTTTAGTGAGATATTTTGAAATATTTTGAGTATTTTGGAATATTAAATTTATTATATTATATAAATAATCAATTAAAATTTATATTCCAGCATTCATTTATATTTAATGGCATTAGATCATTTCTGATTAAGAGAGGTGGAACCACATTGAATGGAGGGTATACAAATGCCTAACCTCAAAATTGAGTTTTACTTATGAGGGAGAGCAATTTTAAAAATTCTCTTGCCCCTTAAAAAAAAATTTTGCCCTATCTTAAAGAGTTTTGCCCACATTCAATCCCAATCCAATTCACCCAGACCCAAAAAACTCATTGTTTCTCTTGTGCGTTGTTTCTGGTGTTTGGACTCTGCCTCTCCTACAATCCATTAAAAATCTTCGCTATCTGCGATCCTCTGAACATCTAACATAAGCTTTGTTCACTCTCAAAAGTAAAGCTAGCTTCAACTTTTATGATTGAGTATAAGAATTTTTTTACATTTATTTTTGTATTCTTTCATCATTCATAAAGATTTTTAAGTGTGCGCATATCATAAAAAAATTTATCTTGATCGGGCACGAATGTTGAGATAAAATTGAGTTGAAAGCCTCTGAAATTAAATTCGGGACCATGCAAACTCTGATTTCAGTAAACTTACAGTCGAACTGAACGTCTCGAAAAGACAAACCTAACGACACCAAACTCGACCCAATCTTAGCCCAAATGAGACCAAATTGAAGACTAAAAGCACATTTTGAAGATTCAAATTATAAATTGGAAGACCAAATGGTTTCCAAACGTGACATGCTTATAGTCGAATCAAGCGGCTCGACGAGACAAATCCAATGAGCCAAAGATCATCAAATTTTGGCATCACTAAGGCACACAAATACTAGATAAATTATATATAATCAAAGGAGTTAATATCGGTCGTCCATTCAAAACACTCCCAACATACCCTTGATCTACTCCCTATTTATTGGTCATATCACTCTCGAAAAATAATAAATAGACTCCTCATTTTTCATTGAGGGGAGAGGAAGCATGGGAGCAAGGAAGAGAAAAAAAAAAGAGGAGATCAAGAGAAATCTGATCTCTCTTACCACCAAGCTCCTCCTCGACCATTGCCCAACCACTGACTGTCATCGAACTTCCATCAGACCACTAATTATCGGCGGACTTATACCTTCGTTACCTGCCAACTACGATCCTTTCAACCTCTGTCGCCTGCCAACGGTCTTTTCGACCTCTGTCGCTTGCTAACGACGGTCTTTCTGATCTCTGTCGTCTGCCGACTTCGATCATTCCAATATCTGTAGCCAAACTACGTCTTTACAGCCTCTATCACCTACCAATTATGGTCATTCCAACCTTCGTTGTCATACAATGGTCATTCCAACCTCTATCACCAGACTACGATTTTTCTGACATGTGTCGCATGTTAACTACGATCCTTATTATCTTTGTCGCTGGATAATGGTCCTTACGACCACCATCACTCGAGTACGGTCCATCCGACCTCTATCGCTAGACTACGGTCCTTATGACATTCGTCGCATGCCGACTACAATCCTTCCGACATTCGTTGCTCTGTCACTCGCAGACTACGGTCCTTTCGACCACCGTCACCCAACTATGATCTTTCCTACCTCTGTCGCCCTCCGACTATGGTCCTGCAACCTAAATGACCATGTCAATATTGGTTCTTCTAATTCCCACCATGTAATGCACTCTATATGATTTATATTTAATACATCAAACCAACTCTTTTCGCCAAAAGAGGGCCTCATTCGTAATTGACTATAAACACTAGTGGATTTATTCAAATCATGTCAGGCCCAATGAATTTTTCCCCTTTTTAGATGTTTCAACGTAAAAACTTTGGTGTCTCTTATAAACACGACACCCTCTCTTTTATCTGATTGTGTGTTAGATCTTCGTTCAAAGCTTAGACGTTAAACTTTATATTTCTTTATCGTCGTGAATATTCCAAGACCTCCCAAATGAAGCCTTAATCTCACCTTCCAATGATGACTATATCTCTTGAGTTCACTATCAGTACTAAATTATACGAATATTAAAATTTAGTTGTTAAATTTATAGATGCTGATGTATTATTTATTTTTTAAGATGAATTATTTAATTGAGTATTATCGCTATAATATTATCCTTTAAATAACAATATTATTATGATAATAGCATGAGTAATTCTATACTCATAAAAGAAATTTAAAAAAAAAAAGGATGTAGCTCATATTGATCTGTTGGTTGAGAGCTTCGACAATCAACGAGAAGATTTTATATTCGAAACTTATATATGTGATGTATGTATTTGCCTTATTTGACCTAAATTTTTTTAAAAAAGATTGTTAACTAAATTTATGTAACCCAATTAAAAAAAGTGATCCACTTGGCCACTAACACTTGAGCATAATTCTCAATAAAATTTGAAATTTTATAGGAATACTTTTGATTATAGAAAATTACTTTAACACTATTATGGTAAATATCCTCTATTATATAAGGGTTACAAGTTGTTAGGGGATTAATCTAACATCTATAGCATATTGCATCAGTGAGCACCGACTAGTAACATTAATTTGAATTTTAATATGATGCTCATTTGAATTTTAATTGAAAAGATTAAGCAATAAATTCCCACTCCATTTTTCTTTTAGGGTTTCTGCGCCAGTAAGCCGCAAGTGTACTTGAGCACCGACCAGTAACATTCAAATCACCATTACCCGAGGGAATCCCATCGCCGCGTAGGGAGATAACGGCGACAGCGGCTGCAAGGCAAAATCCCCCAGCACATCCAAATCATCCCATACCGCCTTCCAACTTGACGTCGTAGATGGCCCATCTAACGTCGGAATATTCCGCTCAAATACTTCCAACTTCTCCTTCTCCACCTCCCTTTTCCTCTTTACCGTCGCCGCCACTGGCGATTGGATCCACTTCCCGGATCGCCCAACCTCATTCGGAAAATTCAGAATCGCTTTATTACCCCTCATCTGGAACGCGGCGCGATCATATGCCCTTGCGGCCTCCAGCGCCGTATCAAACGTACCGAGCCAAACCCTAGATTTCCGCCGTTTGGGATCCCTAATCTCTGCCGCGAACTTTCCCCACCGCCGCTTCCGCACACCGCGGTACTGCGTGCGGTACTGACGGCTGTCGATTACAGCTGCGGCTGGCGGTGGCGATAACTGGTCGGCGGCAGCGTTGGGGTTGGTGAGCGTGGATGGCGAATCGGCGTCAAGCCGGATGATTGAAGATGTGGGATCAGGGCATCGGACCCCTCCGTGAGAATTGGAGGAAGCGGGAGGTAGGATTAGGGTTTCATTGTGGTCGAGGTAATCGGAGACGTCGAGGTCAGCGAGATGAGGAGCGGGTAATGAAGGTGGAGTTGGGAGGGCGGCGAGAATTTCATCCAGGGTGGAGGCAGGGGGATCGCTGAAGAGGTGCTTGTTGATGCGGTCGAGGGCAGAGAGGTATGCGAAAGCCATGGATTTTACAGAGAGAGAGAGCGAGGTAGAGAGACTTTGGAAGCGAGAGTTTATGGAATGTTTAGTAGTATATATAGGAGGGGATTGAGGATGAGGTCACCGCCGTCGGTGGCGTTTAGGAAAAGGTTGAAAATTCGCAGGAAGCAGTCGCTACAATTCATTGTGAATAGGCCAATAGGGACGTCAAATTTTTTCTAGTTGTGTAAAAAGAGAAAGGTGACTGCGTCTCCGGTCACCGGAAGTCGCTTCCATGCATTTTTGTGCTCACCGCCGCCAATTCGTCCTAAGAAATGTCAAAGAAAGAAATTATTCTAGGAGAATGTAGAACACATTTTATCGTCCGGGGGTTAATTAGAATCCGGCACATCAGTAGTATCGAGTCAAGTATCGAGCGGTATCGAGCTGAGTGGTATCGAGCCGTTTTAACAAGCAGTATCAAGCCGGTTATCGAGTAAGGTGTGATCTGACGCATTCTAATTGGTCTTTAAACATCGTTTGTTGTCCGCACATAATAATTTCTCGGGAGCTCATGTTGTTTCTTTGTTGGATTGTTTGAAAAAACAAAGGGAAAATTGTAGTCATTTTTCATTTTTCTTAAATATAGTTTTTTCATATTTTTTAGTTTACTTTTCTAAAATAAATAAATTATTATCAAAAATAATTTTTAGACATTTTTTAATGTTTTAGTGAAACCACAGCCCATATCATTCAAGACCAGTCTTAACTATTATCATATCATCATCGGCATCAACTCCTTATGCTATATACAATAAAAATAAAAATATTATTTATTGAAGATATCAAATGCATTTTTATTTTTTATTAAAATATAAACAAAATAAAAAATATAAATTTATTCCAATGTCTTTTTACAAAAAAATAGGCTTTATATATCTCATAATAGTCACAATAAAAAAATGTCAATTATTTATTTTCGAAGAAATATTATTGAAAAATTGGTCGTAGCAAAATACCCTTTTTTTTATTGTGAATTTTTTATTTAAACTTTAAAGCATGTTGTGAATGACATTAATTCAAATAATGTTCGAAAAAGAGTCGAACAAAGTTAGAACATCGATCGAATATCATTCAAGATGGGTTCGAGCAAGGTTCGAATACGACTTGAACAAGTTTTAAATGTAGTTCATACAAGATTTGAACATAGCTCACACACGATTCGAATAGGGTTCGATCGTAGTTCGAATAAAATTGGGTCGTAATATCATTCTTATATATATATTGGATTTTTCTCTTTCCCCACTACGTGTCTTCTTTTAAGAAAATGAAACAAGGAATGAAATGGCTAGAAGACTTTCTATAGGCCGCTGAGCATCTACAAACTTTGGCTATAAGAAGAGTTTATATCAATGTCTTTCTCTTTCTAACAGCAAGGAAGTCTCAAAGCGATGAAAAAGGTCTATAAGTTGCCTAATGGACGCAACTCATTTTGATCTATTAGTTAGAAGTTTTGGCTATCAGCTAAGAAGTCTTGGTTGAAGTTTTTGCGTATATATGTGATGTGTGTATGAGTTTATCTTAATTGACCTAAATATCCCAAAAAAAAGTTGTCTAATGGCTCTATTCTATGAAAATAGAGTAGCATTAGTGGCATGAACATCTAAATAAGTGTTTTTAGGATTCTCTGCTACAGTGAAGGTCATGAAGGGTTAGCCAGAACATAAGGAAGCAAAATCAAGTTCGAAACTTCAACAATTAAATCAGAACCATCTGAACTCCGATTTCAGCAAACTTATAGTCGAACTGAAGTCTAAAAAATATGAACCCAATGACACCAAATTCAACCCGATCCAAGCTCAAACATGTCCAAATCAAAGACCCGAAGTACTTTTGGGAAGTTCAATCCATAATTTAGATTACCAAACAGTTTCCAAACGTGACATGCTTATAGTTAGTCGAGCGGCTTAAAAAGATGAATCCAACAAGCCCAAGATTGTTAAATTCTGATATCGTTAAGACATTTAAATGCCCAATAAACGGTTGACGATCAAGGGATTCAACATCGACCGCCCATTCAAACCACTCTCAATTTACCAATGATCTTTCTCCTATTTACTGGTCAATGTCACTCTCAAAAAACTATAAATAAACTCTTCATTTCTCATGAGAGGGACCCCAAACAAGAAAAGAAGAGAATGAAGTAAGGAAGCAAGAAGAGAATGAAGAAACACTATTTTTTAAATCGAAGAAGTGATTTCTAGATTTTTTAAACACTATTTTTGATAAATTTATGGTCAAGATGATAATATAGTTTAACGGGAAGGCTCAGAGATAGCGAGAGCAACTTGATATGAGTGCAAATGAGCATAATTAATTAAATACTTAGAAGCATAATTAAGAAATTTCAGAGGCTACTGGAGAGGTCAAAAGTCATCCAAATTAGGAGCATCTCTAGAAACCATAGATTGCTCAAACCATGGTTCATTTAGTTAATAAGATGTTCAAAAAACTATAGAATAATCAAAGATAAATCAATGCAGTGTAATAATTCTCGATAGAAAGATCATGTTACCCTCTCCCAAAATATATAAATAAGCCATATTTCTACATAATTCAAAGAAAAACTTTAGGATAGAGAATTGTCAAACTCTAAAAATTTTAGAGTTATTTGAGCTTCCACGTATGATTAGTCTTCAACCAAGCCGACTCCGACGCACGCCATCAGCCTTGTCAAACAACATTTATCGTCGCCTGCCATCACCATCACTTGATATATACTACTATTAATCAATGTTCGAAATCATTGACATCTTATGCTAATATTCCCAATCTCCCTACCTCTGATCAAGCTAAGCACTCACCAACTCACACTAACAACTCACCATCTCATGACTTCCCCTTGATTAATGACATAATTAGGATAATTAAGCTTATAATTGATTAAATTTTCTCAATATAAAATTATACTTAGGATCACCTTTATTTTGCTAATAAACATGAGGAAACAGGAATTAAATAAAGCTATTAGAAGAAATTTTCTTAAATGTTGAGAAAATATATAATGACAGATTCACATACGTCAAAATCTCATTATGATCTTCATAACGAAACACGAAACTTTCAACCAACGAGCTGAGTGCCGTAACAAATTCTTCTTTTAATTAAATGCTCTATGTATGATTAGGTTTTAATTAATTAATGCATGCTCATGCAGTCATGCTTCTAACAAAATAAAGAGTCGACCTGGCCAACGTACTGCAACCATAATCACAAGCAGGCAAGAAATAGTCTTCCAAAAAATTTAATATTAAATTATATTTGTACACTACACTAAAATATATTTATTATAAGTCACATACATTAGGATAAAAATTTTATTTGTGATAATTTTTATATTATTTTTTAAAGTAATTTTTAATACAAATTTTTTTAATTCAATTATTTTTATATGAGAAAGCTGTCTCAAACGAAGTCAAAGTTAGACTTCTTTTAATCATTATTCTTTTTGTTTTCTAACTCAATTTTTTAGTATAATTTTTTTTAAAGAACAAAAAAAATAATAGCCAAAATATGTCCAAAAGGAAGCTATAATTATTTTATTTAAACTCTATGCAGATTTTTACCTTGTCATTTTGTATTGCTGGCAAAATACTTTAGGGAAAAAAAAATCATATCATGATATCATTAAAATTTTAATTAAGTTGAGTAACAAAAATTTTAAATCTTATTTAAGATGAGGGAAATATATATGTAAATATTTAATAATATACTGACATCAAAAAGAAATTTAAAAATTCTGAGACTCATTCCAACTATTGTTTGATGAGAAGAGAAAAAATAATTAAATTTGTTGCCATGAAATTTTTTTTTTTGCAACAATTTCATATATTTTTAAAAAAATTATTAGACTATTAAAATAATTTTTGAAGTAAATTGATTGTTGATTAAAGTCTTCTCAAAATGCTTTGAGATGGGCATGTCAACAAATGCTCCGGTTGATAATCTTTGTCTCGACCCGACCCAAATAATTCGGATTTGGGTTAACAAATTTAATAATAAGGTCGAATTTGGGTCCAAAATTTTGATGCATATATTAACGTGTTGGGTTTGAGTTGACCTACGAACCCGATAGTACTGACCCGTTAAATTATTTTGCATGTTTGTATATTTTTTTTTATTTTTTTGTCAATTAATCAAATTTTAATAGTTGATAAGTTACAAACTTCCTTTTAATGAAAATAGGTTATTGGGTCGGATTTGAACCATTAAGGGTTGTCGACGTGTTGGATTTGGATCCACCTTTTTTGAGTACTTGTTCATTAAAAGAATTGAGTTTGGATCGACTATACTCATATCAGGTCAATTATGGGTTTCACTTGAACCCGGCATATTAATTCACTTTGACACCCTTATTATATAAATATTTATAATATATGCATATACACGAGCATAAATGTACCTATATATCCCAAATAAGTTTGGAGGTCATTTTCATGACAGCCAAACTGGAAGAATTATTACGTCCTTTGACCGGACGTAGAGCTACGTTCGGCCGTCAATAACATGTCGCCACGTGCTCTTATTCTTTACCGTGTGGCCCGACAACTTGACTCAGACCGGAACCCAGGAATGCTATGTTCGCATATTGTGAGGTATTACTCGGTATTTGCTCGGTATTTCTAGGTATTGCTTGGCAATAATGAGAAATACCGCTCTGTGAAGACCAATACTGAGTATTACCGAGCATTACCGAGTTGTACCGAGTTTTCTAGAAAAACTCGGTACAACTTGGGATTGCTCGGTATTTGCTCGGTATTACTCGGTATTTGCTCGGCATTGATTATTGCCGAGCAAAATCGACCAATATCTAGCAATACCGAGCAATACCTAGCAAAATTGAGAAATACCGAGAATCCTGGGTCCGTTCAGGATCGAGTTGTCGGGGCGCGCGGTAAATAGTGAGAATGCGTGACGCGATTCTACTGGACCGGACCAAATAAAAGTTCTGTGACCGGACCAAATAAAAGTTCGCCAAACTGAGCCCAGCAAGTGCTAATTTTGATGGCCACTATAGATTATGTAAGGTTCAAGACTCTTTTAATCAGCAACGATTATATGCATTTACTTGTTTCGTAGACGACGAAACAGTCGTCATATTGAAGCTGTTATGGAATTAATTGTGTGCAAGCAATATATGTGTTGGCTTTATTGTTTTGTTTTGTATCGTATTTTTTTATTAGAATTCAGTCAATCTTTTTGCCACATAAGTTGCTAATGATCGGACAGCTGGTTAGTATAGGCACAAATCTTTTGTGAACAATGCATAAGCCCTTTCAGAAATTTAACTTCTGATGAATATAAATAAACAATTAATTGATTATTTCATCATATTTTATCTTACAATAACATCTCGATTAGGGGTGTAAAAATTGAGTTTCGGGTCGGATTTGGGTTGATCCCGAAACTGGCCCGGGTTCAGTCGGATCGATCCTAACCCGACCCGATTATGTAAACGGGTTGGAAGTTCAAACCCGGACCCAACCCTTTGGGTTACCAAGTTGACCCAAGCCTATACCGCTGGAAGGCGACGACAGGGCTTGTGTCGATAGTGGGACGGTTGGGCAGTCAAGTAGCCTCGGATGCAACAAGCTGGCGGGCAAGGGCAACTCGGTCGAGCATACGTCGGGTTAACCCAGACAGCGCGGTCAACTTGTTTCAAACAGGTTTTCAAGTTGACCTGTCGGGTTTCTGAGTTAACCCAAATCTGACCCATTTGCAAAACAGGTTGACCCTAACACGAAAATTTTAGATCGAGTTAGAGTTGGATTTTCGGGTCGTGTCAAATACTAACACCCATAATCTAGCCACCTTACCCTCTTCTGTCATTATCGACCATTGTTGTCATTACTATCGATAACCGTCATTATCATTATTTACCACCACCATCATCGCTAGTCGTCGCAGTCATTACCATCACTATCATCTTCATCATCGTTGTACAAATCAACAACTTATGCTATATTCAATAAGGTTAAAGTTTTATATTTAATATACTAAATACATTTTATTAAGAAATTTTATACTTCTACCCCAGTTATATTTAATATCTCATTTTTATAACATTTTATTGTTTAAAATATATAAAAATATATCCATTAAAATTTATATTTCGCTTTAAATAAGTTCATAATAGCACAATTCATCCACTAGTCACAATATTGGTACATAATCAATCATCATTAAACAAAAATAACTATCTTAATTTAATTTAATATATATATATACATTAATAAAATCAATGCATCATTGCTCTCCATATATTTTTATATAAATATAAATAATAGTAGACATGATTAGGACGTAATAGAATCATAATAATTTTAAGTATTACATTTCCAATTTTTTGTTTTTTCTCCAAAAAATTGATTAGGTAGATTTGCAAATTCTAATATTGCGTATTACTTATATGAACTATCTATTCTTTCTTTTTTTTTTTTTGGGGAAAAGATGGATTAAAATGTAAATTTGATATAGATAAAATCTGAGAGATCAGAATTTGACTGAAGACTTTTTCTCTATTTTTTGCAAGTGGTTTGGAATGTAGTTAGAGGTCGATTATTTGCTTTAATTACTTCCTTATTGTAGATAGTGAATGGAGTTAAGAGTTGATATAAGGCCGTAGTCAAATAGCCACTCTCCCATGTGAATATCACAGCGTATAAATTCGCCCTAAGAGAATAAATCAAAGGATTCACCCATTCTAGTGGTCGAACTCGTCCCTAACTTGCAAACGCCATTGTCCAGAGTAGGGGTGTCAATATTTGACACGACACGAAAATCCGACCCGGATCCGACCCGAAAAATCCGGTTTGGACCAAACCCGATTTCAAAACAGGTCGGGTTTTGGGTTCCCGTATTCTACCAGTTTGAAAAAACGGGTCGGGTTCGGGTTGACCCAGCAACCAAAAAATTTGGATTCCAGCCCGCTGCCAGCTGCCCTCGCCCGAGCTGCCCGATGCCCGCTGCCCCGCGTGCCCACGCCCGCTCCCGCGTACTTCGCTGCCCTGCGTGCCCCGCTACCCGATGCCCCCGCCCGCTCAAGCCCTCACGTGTCGTGTCCGCCCCCTCACACGCCTTTCGCCCGCCTCCATTCCGACGTTCAAGTGCCGGCATAACCCAAATCCGGGTTGGGTCGGGTCAACCCGGCAGGTCGGGTCCGGGTCAGACTTTTCGACCCGTTTACATATCCGGGTCGGGTTAGGGTTGACCTGTTTGAACCCCAGGTCAGTACGGGTCCGACTTGAACCCGACCCGAAGACTCTTGGGGACTCAGCCCTGGTTCTTGGGGACTTTTGACTCTTATTACGAGGAACTGGCCTCTTGTTTTTGGGACTTGTATGCACCTACTTTTCCCTACAACATATATCTCAAAGACTCGCAAAAAATACTCACCATGGAATCCTCGCTCAAAAAATTCGCCTGAGAGGAAGAGGTCATATTAGAGATAGAGATTCATGTGTACATCATACAACTAATCCATGTAGGGAAAAGTAGGTGTCGTCAGAACGTTGTCGTCGGGCTCATCGGCATCCCTTCGGTGGGAAGGGGAGAAGAGGTGGAGCTGGCGAAAGAGGACGTGGGAGAGGATTTCGGGGAAGGCGGTGGCGAGTGGCGCAGTCGTGTATGAATTGAAGAATGTGACTGAGATAGGCCTTGGTCGCCAATGGAGATCATGCTTTGGCGCTGTTGAGGATTTTGCAAGTTTTCGATTGGGTCGGCATTGGAATAAGTTTTAGGTGGTAATTGTGTAAACAGACAAGTTTATGTGTTAGATGAGTAAATAAAAAACTTTTAAATGTTATGTGTGTAAATAATCTCTATAAATAAATGGTGAATAAATATTCTAGAAGATATTTTTTGAATCTTTAGATCCCCTTTATATTATTGGGTTATTTGCTAATATAATTTTTTTTTCACATAATCTTCTTTCTTACTAATCTCATTTATTTAATTTTCTAGCTCTAATCTGCCAACAACCTACTAATAAAGTTAAGTGTCTTCCATAAATAAATTTGAATCCAACAAAAATAATCATAAATTTGTTACAACTTACAACTTTGAGATAAGTAAAGCATCTGTATCAAATATCAAAGACATGTGTCCCTACAAGAATACCTCGTGAGATTGATCATTACACTCTCATAACTCTTGAAAATAAAAGGAAAATTAATATTTAGGGTAAAAAAAAAAGAATCAAGAGATAAAATCAGGTAGGAAACTTCAAAAATTAAATCGGAGATCATGAACTTTGATTTCAACAAACTTAAAATCGAACTGAACATCTCAAAAATACGAACCCAACGGCACCAAATTCGACTCAATCCGAACCCAAATGACTCCAAATCAAATACTACTCAAAGCATATTTGGAAGGTTTAAACCATAATTTGGATTACCAAATGGTTTCCAAACATGACATGCTTATAGACGAATTGAGTTGCTAGACAATATGAATCCAACGAGCCCAAGATCGTCGAATTCTTATATCACAGAGACATTTAAATGTCCAATAAATGATCCACGATCAAGATATTTAAGATCTGTCGTCCATTCAAATCACTCACAATTTAATTTCCTATTCATTTGCATTTTTTTTCTTGATTGCTATCAGCTTAATCCTATATTGATTCGATTTTAAAGAGATTTTATGATTTGTTTTTGTACAATGAGATTTTTAATATCACGTATTTAGTTAATATATTGAACTCGTTCTAGTAGTAATAAGTGATTTGATGATTGGAAGTCATTTTGTGAAGGAAAAAATAAATTAATTAACTATCAAAGTTTTATCATTTTTAAAATTGACTATTTTTGTCCCAAGTTCGGATATAAAAAATTGAAGAAAAAAAAAGTTTCCCTTAATACATTTTATGGCTACACCAATGAATAAAAAAAACCAATTCCAAACAAAGCCTTTCGTTTGAAAATTTGACTTTCTCCAGCGCAGACTATTTCTCTCAAATCTCAACGGATCAAAACCCACCGAAACTACGACGAAATCAGTAACCTTATCCTCAACCCCTCAACATCTCCACGTATATATTGCTCCATACTCCCCAAACTCTGTCGTGCTCTCTCTCTCTCTCTCTCTCTCTCTCTCTCTCTCTCTCTCTCTCTCTCAGACACACAAAACCCCCCAAGGCCGCCGGATCTCTCTCCGCCCTTGACCGCATCCGCAGACATCTCCTCGACGAACCCCCTGCCTCACTCCTCGACGACCTCCTCGCCGGCCTTCTAACCCCACCACCTTCAGCACCCGTTCCCCCTCAGGCCCATCTCGCTGACCTCTCCGTCTCCGACTACGTCTACCAGATCCCAACCCTGACCCTAAATCCCGCTTCCCCCGGTCCGCGAGCCGAAATGTTCAGATTCAGCGATGCACCGACTTCGATCATTCAGTACAGCGATTCCGAATCCCACCTCCAGCTCACCATCCCCCAAGCCGCTGTTCCTACAGTGGAATGGATCGACGGATCCGGTGGCGATAAGCCGCCGCCGGCTGTGGAACTCGTCGATTGTCGGCGGTACCGTGGCGTACGGCAGCGACCATGGGGAAAGTTCGCAGCGGAGATTAGGGATCCCGAACGGCGCGGATCTAGGGTGTGGCTTGGCACGTTTGACACTGCTTTGGAGGCCGCACGGGCTTATGATCGCGCCGCGTTCAAGATGAGGGGTAGCAAAGCGATTCTCAATTTCCCCAACGAGGTTGCAAACTCCGGTGATTGGATCCGGCGATCGACGGCGGCAACGGGGAAGAGGGTGCGGGAGGAAGCGGAGATGGAAGTGGAGGGGAGAGTGAAGAGGGAAAAGTCGGAGAGTTTTGAGGAGAATATTCCGTTGGCGCCGTCAAATTGGGAAAGCACGGACGTAAACGACTGTTTTAACTTGCCGCCGTTATCGCCTCACCCTGCGATGGGGTTCCCGCGGTTAATGGTGATTTAAATATTAATGGAGGAAGTTAGTGTGTAATTACAGAAAAAAAATATATTTTTATTTTGTATCAAAATTAAATCATTCATTTGTGTTTGTGTATGTCTCTCCAATTCATTCATTATTTGAGAAAGTAAATGTGATAGATTTTGATATGATGGGCATACTATATTACATCACTGATTTAAAAAAAAAAAAATAAATAAATAAAATTTATTTTAAATGTTAGAAGTTAATTTTATAATTAATTTAAATGAATTAATCATAGTTTTAAAATATTTTAAAAATTCTCACCAATCTTCACTTTAATGACATTTTTGTTTCATTTGGGAGCTGGGTCTTTATATTACTTATAAAATTAAAATTTTGTATTAATAAATTATTTTAAGAAGCAATAATTTATTCGTTACTACTCCCAAAGAAGGCGCATGGCGGCATAACTAATTCCTCGATAGGCTTAGCAGCAACCAACCACAAATCCCTCGATAGACATAGCAGTAACCAACCCTATAGGTGCAAGACCACACAATTATTTTCTCCTCATTTAAAGAGTCGCGTTGCATGAAAGAGGAATTAAATATGGGTTGGGAGGTTCCCAACCATGAACTGACCCCGATGGGGTCCAATCTAACAGCTTTTAGAGGTACAATTTTGTGCAATTAGCAATAAGCAAAATTATAAGATAAATTAAGTAAAATGAACGTCACAAGGGTCAAAATTCACTGGATTAGCTTTGCTAAGTGAAGCCTAATTTAAACGAACTTGTTTGATTACTGAGCTTAAACATTTCGTCAAATTATGATTATGACGGATTTCAAAGATATTAAATTTATTTCTGAGATAGATCATAGATGCAATAATTGAATAATAAATTAAAATTAAAATGAAGTTTATCTTAAAATATATTTAGTGGTTTTAACACACATTTTGACTTTTTTATTTATTTAAATTTTATGGATCCAAATTTTTTTGTATATATATATATATATATATCATCCCTTCAGATAGAAGATATTCTAACTTCAAACTAAATTATTTATTTTACATATTGCACATAAAATTTTTAATATAACACTCATTTACTGAATAATTTTTTTAATTTATTAAATTTCTAAAGTTAATGTCATTTTTTAAATGATTTAATATATTATCTTCTAAAAATCAAGAATAACACTTAAAACCCAAACCTATTTTAAAATTTAAATACGATTAATTATTTACATTATATGTAAAGATTTTGAGCTCTATCATAATTAAAATTTACATCAAAATATTTGAAAAATTTTTTTTTTTCTGTAAGAACTCGACCGACAGTCAAAGAAGCTTATAAGCAGAACAAAACTATCAATAAAATGGAAATAGCAAAGAGCCAAAAATATTTATAAAATTAGGAAATAAAGCGTGCAACGCGGCTAAGACTTTGACCAGCAGATACAGCTATGGCCTGGGCTGGAAATGCAAAAGTTAAGAACCAGACAAATAACTTTGGTGGAGCTTACAGAGCCACTTAAATAAAAAATAAAATACAAACATCAAAGCAATAGAGATTATCAATAAGACAAATTAAATCCTATATTGCATGACACCTGCATGCAAGGACCGTAATATCTTATAAAAAGATTAAAAAAATCAATACGTAAGATTTTAGTATTTATCTATGAGATATTTATCATCAAATAAATTTTGATATCATGGAAATATTTGCAATTAATATTTCATGAAATTTAAGATTATGTTCGATAAATAAAAATTTTCATTTTAAAAAATGAAAAATATAGTTAAAATAGGTTTTGAGTGAAAAAATAAAAGAGAAATCATTTTGTATGGAGAGATCGGACTGTGAGTGCACATATTATGTACATTATATATAATTTTTATATATAATTTGTACACTCACAATTCAGACATAAACTTCCCGTCCGGAGTCCGTCCTCCCGTCGGAATAATTTCTTCAAAAAAGGCTCCATTTCATAGATGACTTTTGAATAGAATAGACTTTAAAATTCTCAGATATGCTTTAAGATTAGTGAAAATATATAGCCAATTATTTCATCCAATTCTCAAAATAGAATTAAAAGATTTTAGGTTATTTTGGGACAATTTTCCTACTGTTTTTTTTTTTTAAAAACAACTTTCTATTACAAAAATTTCTAGTTCAAAATTTTAAAAAAAATTTATTTAAAAAATAGTAAGAAAATTATCCCAAATAAAATCTTAATATCATCCTATCATAATTTTTTTTTTCAACTCACAGATGGTAGAAATTATTGAGTCTATGAATTATAATTAAATTTTGCATCTATGATTATATTTTTTTATCATATCTATTTGATATTTTTATGCACACCAACATATTTTTATCTATTTAATATAAAATTAAACTAAAAACTCTGAAACATTATAAATCATTATTTGAATTTCATAGAATGATTTATGAAACTTCACATTCCTTTACATCGGAAATGCACAGAAAATATGTAAGAAGCTTTATTCAACGGTAAATTTAGCTCTAATATAGATAAAAAATGTATCATTTATACTGATGAAATTTCAAGGATTTGCTTCTCAGTATGCCTTCATAAATCATAGACAGCAAGAGATTTGATAGAATTGGCTTCAATTATAGTTCAGTGATGTTGGATGAAAGCCTCATAGTTTTCTTTTATGATATTACCAAGGAGGAGTGCCATCCATGAATGTAAGGAGAGCAAAGAAATGCAAACCAGTCATGGAAGTTTAAATATAGAGAAATTATTTTTTGTGGAGAACAGATGCAGAATATCATCTGAAGTTCAATCAAAATCTGTCACATCAACAGTACCAAACCGTGTTATCGAACAAAGTTGATATATCGCATTCTGATTGGTCTCCGAATAGCATTTGGCATCCGCAGATAATAATTAATCCTAAATATAAGGTGTTTAGATTTATATGCATCAACTATCATTGAGTGTTGCAATTGCTAATCAATAAAGGTGATAATATTTCTCACAAATGATGTCAAATTGTTATATGCTAAAATTTTTATAGCAATAGAAATAATTTAACGTATTAATGTTATACCAAAATTTTCCATATACATAGATTTAAGAGCCCCACATTAAGGACGCTAGATTTTTTAACAAGTATAAAAAATAAATTACAAAATCTTGCCCAATTTAAATAGTTTCACTAGATTGCTCTAACTATAATTAGAGAGAATATTAATATTAAATAATAGAAATGGTTATAGGACATGTGGGTAATAAGAGTACTAACAAATTAAAGTTGACTACAACCCACCGAATGACCTTGCCTCTTACTCAGAGGTTGGGTCCACAACCTCCTCTAAGTAGACTAAAGATCATGATGACCCAAGATGACATAACCACGGGATCTTAAACGGGTCGAACGGCTATCATCACTCTCCCACGATATGCTTTTAAATGCAATGTGGTTAATTTTTAATTTTAAATATTAAATTTTCAAATACTAAATTATGCTGCTACTATATGTCGATCCAATGCATCTTTTTGACAACTACCCTTAATTGAAAATTCTCTCTCGCTATTCGGGAGGAGTAAATAACTATAGGGGCTTCGCAACCTATAGGAATCGCTAAATTCAGATCATAAGTCGCCAAAATGAGGACGAAATCTTCTGAATGATGTCTTTATTTACAACCCAATATGCCTTCGAAATAAGCCTCAAAACTTAAATGTTAACTCTCCTCGACAACCCAAAGAAGGGAAAAAAGGCCGCCAGAGATGGCGGGAAGTGATTTCGGAACCCACATAATAGTTGATGGTAGTTGTTTGATGTTTCAGATGTTAATATAAAGGAGGACCGCATTTGTTGTTCTCTTCATAGTTAGAAGAGACAAATACATTGCGAAAGACAAGGGGTCGAGCCATCAATAACTATTAAATTCTGATTTTAATCGTTTTGGAAGGCATCTCGCCCAATGGTTCAACAAAGAACATTTGAACTTTCTCATTAACAATTCATGTGATATCTATTGACAGCCAACATCCCACAAACCATCACGCCAAATGCTAGTCTCTCATATCAAAACAACTAACGAACTCGCCTAACTTTTTGACACACCCTCATTCAAATTAATACATCTAATACCAATCGCTCAATGATAAATATCAAAACTTTTTATTATTAATGTAATAAACATTCTCCCATAATTAAATTCTAACTGCATTTGTTACATCTAATTATGAGAAAATGTCCTT